TACTTCTTAAATCACATGTGAAAGAACCATTTCAAGCGTATCTGCAGCAAAATTGCAGCTGAAGTGGTCTCATCCAAAATGGAGTAGCAATCACAGATGAGCAATTCCTGCACTTAAAGTCGGCTGGAATGATAAACTTAACCATGAACTGTATACATTTAAAGTGGCACTTGGCCACTTGGATTCAGTCGAGCATTAGATGGCAATCAGCTCGAGATACACACATGCTAAGGTTCCAAGGGCTGGGGGAAATTGTGATGGCGGAAGCTTGTTACTGACAATCTCTGGTGCAATCAGTATTCATTAATTTGGCAGCCGTTAGGACGTACTGAAAATGCAATCTATGGCAAGTAGAAATTTAGAGACTTCTATGCAAAATGGCAGGCGAGCAATAAAAAAGTTTTCACACTGCACTTCCGGGCATGTAGAAAGTTTTACTAACTCCCTCGTCCAGAAAATGCAGTTATTTTTGGCATTGGCCAACAAGAAACTGACTTCATTGTTGGCCAGGCCAACAAAAAGCCCTGCAAGGAAACTGCCAAAATAGTTGCAACGACTTCAAATGGGTTGCGTTTCTGGGCCGGAATTATTCGGTTTGGGGGAGTAGTTCACAATTTGGTATTCAACTGTGCGAAATTCTGAACAATAAGTCGTTACACACACACACCAATCTATAAAGAGAGCCACGGATATTCGAGGGTATTTCCACCCGCCTACCCTGATGGGCCCCGGAATTTCCTGTTCGGCGATATGCGCCAACTTTCAGACAATCATTCGGTCTGTGGCTGTGCCCTTTCTTGGACAAAATGGCAAAAGCTTAGCGGGCTTTGGCCAAGCTATAAATATGCCGAGATATGTTCATGAACTTATTGCGGCGTGGGTGTATGAGCCACAAAAAGTTGCCAGGATTGATTTAATTTATGAGCTGCCTTAATTTATTTCCGCCAAGGACAAGTCAAATTCGATCGAAACAAGTTAAATTGGCTTAGAGAACATAATTGCTGACCATTGCTGTAATTTGTCTGCTTATGTGATTTCTGTTTAACTAGTCAAAGAACAGTGAATAATTGTTGATACTTCTTCATCGTACATAAGTATTCTACGGGTGTTTCCAACTCTTAAAACATTGCGAATATTCCACCCCACTAAAAAACCAATTACATATTTTGATATTTGTTTTCTCAACTTAACGTTGTTCTGCGAAAAATCAACTACATACCAAACTTTTTTCTTCTTGCTCAACATTTGCTGTTCACCATGGACATGAAAATCTACAAGAACAATAATCATACCGAATAATATAAAAATGTTGCCAAAAACAAAAACAATGGACCACAATGGCAATGGCAATAAAAAGAAACATTCAACTCTCGCAACTCATACAACTTGTCAGAAAACAGTGGGAGAGAGTGAAAAGCGTGGAAACTGCCCAAATTGGGGGGAAAAATCCGAAAAGTATGCAATATTTTTTTCCAGTTGGTCCTTCAACTTTTCGTGGCTCGTTGCTGGCTTGGCAGGCCCGACATAGCAATTAATGCCTGTAAGTGGTCCGCGTGGTAGCTGAACATAGATGTTGCCATTTTTTTACAACAGGGAACTTGTCAAAACTAGGGTATAATTTAACTTTTGAAGAGAATGCAAAAGCTTGCTTATCATTGAACTAGTATGCCTATGTCAAAAAAGGTTATTGAGATAGGTTTCAAGAATGAAAAACAGAACAGTAGCAGCTTTGGTAACATAAAACAAGAAATACCGGGTATGTGATAGTCGAGCTGTGCGCAATTTTAGCAGTTCTCATCACCAGAGTGCTCGGACTTGGCATGTTAATTGCATGTTGCCAACATATGTTCGCTTGTAAGTGTGGATTTCCGCCCATTCCCCAGTGGGGCAATTAAAAAATGTTACCAAAATGCTCGGCTGCAAAGACATTTAACTTTTCTGAAATTGCGGGTAATTTCGTTTCTTTCTCTCTTTCTTTCTGTTCTTTCTTTTCATCGGATGATGTTTGTAACACATGGCGTATGCGTGTTACGGCTACAGGCGCTAACTTTCGGACAAACTTTGCTCTTATCAGCTGGTGATAAAAATATAAGAGGAAAACAAAGAAGAAGAAAAAAGTGGAAAAACCTCCGCAAAATGGATGTTCGTATGGGATGAATGGGGATGTGCAAGTTTTATAGACACATCTGGCGGTTGGCTATATAAATTTCAAGTTTGTTGCTGTTTGAAAGCTAAACGATTCGGTTTTCCTAGCTGTTGCATATGTGTATGTGCCACATGCGATGCCTGCACACACATGTTTTATGGCTTTAACCATGGAGAAGGAGTATTTTTTCCACGATAAGTTGACCATTAATGGTCGCCAAATGCTGGCAAATTGATGTTCACGCTGGGAATGGCTTGCGGTTGCCTTTGCTGGCACAAAATGCTCACATATACAAATTTAAAGCCTTTTAAACGGTTCGTGGTGATATTACTAAACGAAGAAAATATACCAACGATATTGTATAATATTTAATGCATAAGTACAAATTTGACTTAAAGAACGATATAAAAGGTATTTTATTATAATATTCTTTAGTAACATGATACTCAGGCCTATTTATTCAAGGAAAACAGACCGTTTGGCAATAGTCACGCCCTTTACTCATTACTCACTTAGGCCAAGACAATATCCTTCGATTGGGCCAGTAATTACCAGTGTCATTGAATGGCCCACGCATCTAACACCCAAAGTGATTAGGCACTTTATAGCCGAAAAGCGTTGAATCACTTTGCAGCTCACAGCTGCGGTTCTCATTTCGTATTACTTTGCGTGTCTTTGCGCTTTCCTTAGTGTTTCCTTTTAGCCAAGGCTAAGGTGTTTTGACCTTTAACTGGTAAGTAATAGGGTCCAGATGTGCACGAAATTGTTAAATTTACCATATTACAGCTAGCAATATTTATTTTGTGGGCTGTCATTGATACACATTTAATAATTGAATGACCAGCCACTGATATGGCATCCATTCGTCACGTTTTCATTATTTCTTATTTTATTTTTACAGTTTCCAAGTTTAGTTTTTCAATGCTGGCTCGTGTGAATTTTATTTATAACTTTTCTATTTGCAGTTTCGCGTAGCATACATCACGGCGACCGCCCCCTTTGCCCCTCATTCGACCACTTGCCAAACAACAGCAGCCACTTTTATGTAGGCTCTTTGCCTGTGTCTGTGTGTGTGTGTGTGGGTGTGTGTGTGAGCGGGCATGTGTATACGTGTGCATGAATGAAACTAGAGCGCACCTTGATTCTATTTTTAAATGCCACACAAAACAACAATTGTCGCTTAGTTGCGCGTTAAGTGTTTTTCATCCAGCTTCCCACGACCAAGTTCCTTTTGTTGTGAGGATGCAGATGCAGCTTTTCTCGGCTAGAAGCACTCAAAATAGTTGGCCAAATAGCACGAAGGATTATATAAATAGATGGCAGCGAATTTAGCTTAGCTAAGACCTTGTCTTGAAACACTCGTCACAAATAGTAATTCAAAAGGCTGGGAAATATTTAAATCCCTTTAAATGTAAATATATTTTATTATTTTTTTCAAAAGGTCATTAATGGATTAAACTACTGAATGTTACTTTTTGATTTGGTTAAATCGGATTACTCTTCGACTGCCCTCAAACGAAACTGAATGAAATCGATCACGAATCCATGTCGCATGAGTTGGAAAACTATGCCAACACAAGTTAACTTTTTAATCGGCTTGGGCATCTAAATGGAATTGGCATTTATTTTATCGTTTATTGCCAGGCTGCACGATAGTGCTTTTGTTGCTTATCAATTGTTGCGCACAACTTTTGTTTGTTTGTTTCCCCTTAAGTGCTTGTCGCGGATTAAATAACACGGAAATTGGGCTGAATAATGGGAATTAATCAATACACAATTGAAGCGTTAAATAAAGAGTATTCAAAATGCATTATACTCCTGGGAATAATTAATTTTATAATGGTATAGAATTGCTAGAATCTGGAACTCAACACTCTAGCTTTTATAGTTTCCGAGATCAGAGATCTTATATACCCATTTTCCCTACGAGTAAGGAGTATAAATATGTTACGATAGACGATTCTTAGACACATATGACCGCAATGCTAAAAAATACCATGTGTAAGGCTTCGGTTTTTTTCCGAAAATTATAAACATGTTGTCGACACTTCTGGCGAAAGGGAAAATGTATGTATGAACAATTTAAAATATTTTTCACAGTGCCGTAAACAGTAAACAAGTGCTGGCAGGTGCGCCTTCAAACACAGACACTTATTTGTTTAAATAAATATGATAATTACTATTTCAATAGTAAATCCAAAACTCACAACCAATTTTAAATATAATCTCAAAAGCGAAATTACTGAAATACTCTTTGATGCGTTTTTTAAACATTTTCATTACTTTCCTCAATTATTGAATGAAAAACCTGGCAGAGCTCAAACTTCAAATAGCGCCCATAAATATTCTCCATAATTTCGCGAAAAATAAACAAAATATTTGAGATTGTTTTTTCGCATTTTCCAAGGTGAGTGTGTGCATTTTTCGCCAGCCTGTGCGTGTGTGTGTGTGTGGGTGCTTCTGCGAAAATGCGCTGGTGTGTGTGCGTGCGACTTTGGCGCCTAGTCAAATAAATCGCATGCGATTAAAATTTTATACAAATAGCTTTAGAAGCGTGCGTTTTGCTTTGTTGTGTTTCATTTGCCGTGCCATTTCCACCTTTTCACTGTTTGTTTTTGTTTCTCTTTTTTTTCTTGTTTTTTTTTGCTTTTCTAGTCTTAAGCGGCGTTGTTTTTGGTTTTTTATGGGTGCATGGCGTCAGTTAAATGAGTTGTTGTTTATAGTTCTTGAGCATGTGTGCGAAAAATTTGCATTTGTAGCGTAACGCTTTTGTTTACTTTGTAGGTTAGTTTGTTGGCCCATTGACATATACACACTCGGCTAAAATATAACATATATATATACATATATTTACCTTCGATGCCGTTTGATGGTGACGGCAGCGGCGGCGGCAGCGGCGGTGACGAAGAAAGCGGCGAAAGCAGACGGAGAAATTGGCCGAAACGGAGATGAAGGAAGAAGGAGGAATGAGTTGGTGATGGCTGATGGCTGATGAGTGGTAGTGGGTGGTTGGGTGGTGGGTTGTGGGTGGTATTAACCTCAAAGCATGCCAGCAAACAGCTCCTCGAAAGCACTTGACTTGACTCCTTTCGATATTTATATTTTCTTGCCCTTCCTTGCGTGTCTCGTTTTAATTTGTTAATGATTTGGGCTTATTCATATACGAGTATTTGTATTACTTGGCGTTCACTTTGTTTTTCGCTTCTTATTTGGTGTTATGTTACATTTTAGCTAAACTTGAGGTCCTGTCTCAACGATTGTTGTTGCTGTGCGGAAAATGCCAAGCAGCGATTGTAGCAGCAGCAGCAGCGGAAAAAGAAACAAGAGGAAAAACTGTATCTTTTAGATCCGGGCATATCCTTTATCTCGAACAGCGACTGCGACGCTGGCCGAGGCAGCAGCTGTAGCTGAAGCTGGAAAATTTCCTCCAACTTGTTTGTCTAACTGTCGCGCTGCTTTTGCCAAAGCCACTAGCGATGTGATAGCAATTAAATCAAATCTTAAGTGACATTTTTATAAATGATACAGCAGCAGCAACAATCGTTACCATATAAAATCCAGCAAAAAAAAATGAACTCGATAGCAGCAAAAACCGCGCAGCGTTTTCCCCGTTTACCGTTTCGCCGTCAGACACACACTTTTCCACACACTTTTCCCCACAAATAAAGCCAGAAACCGTTCGACGCGCGCACGCGAGTGTCCTATACACAACTGATTACAGGACTGCGAAACGAAAATGGAAAATGTTTGCCAGCAGCGACGCTTCGGCACTCGGTTTCCCTCGCTCGGAATTTCTCCGGCTACCGCAGCCAGGCTTCTGTTGCCGAAATATCCGGAGCCACTCCGCCGGAGACGAAGACGGAGAGCGAGTTCGCCGGAGAGTGGGTGCGCACTCACTTGGGTTGCGGGCGGCATATAGGGTATAGCATAGCCCTCGGCGGTTACAGTGGACTAAGTGGCCATATTACGCATATAATCAGTTAGTTGCACTATCATTTCTATATACATATATTTCTATATAGTTGTACGTGGGAAGTGGCGCTTTAAATGGCGAATATATTAACTTGACTGCCTACGTGGCGTATGAGTAATTTTTCATCTATGTTACTAAGGCAAGACCGCCTGTTTAAGTAGCATTTCAATGCATAATAACAAGATTTATAATGAATGATTTTTAAAAAAGAAAAAGATCTACACATAAATTTTGTTTATTAATTATTATTTTTAAGGACTGCAGGATCTCTAAAGAATTGACTCAAGGCAAGATGGTGGTATACCTCGCAAGTACCTCATCTTTAAGATGCTTGTGCACCCTTTAACGCCTTGAACACTCCTCGAATGTGCCCACTGTGCAAGCAGCACTCATCTTCCTCATTCATCTTGCTCAGCCCGCACAATTGGCTGCCAAAAGTATTGCCACACCATCCTCGGCGACTTCGTCCTTTCACTTCAACGCCGAAAGTGAGGCAGTCTGGCAGCCTCTAGTTTGCGGGTCCTGGTCCCCAGTGAGGGTCTTCTGTTACGCTGCTGTTATCCTGCAGACCGCGAGGGTCCTGAGAAATGACACCCATGAGTTCAGGATGAGCACGACGCCACGGCAGCCACCCAATCCTCCATTTGCTCCATTTCGCAGATACCTACATATGTACATATATGCACGGTGTACATAAGTACATATGCTAGTCTGTTGGACATTTGCACGGCTTTTTTTACCATCGAACGGACACGGAGGGTTAACAGCCAAATGACAAGTGCTTAGTGTTTTGCATATGCGTGCGAGCGTGCACTGGGAAAAATTAGTATTTCCCTTTGTTTTTATTCGTAAGTAATACTCAAGAGTTAATAATTAAACGTATAATTTTTTTTGATTTTCATTCATACATAGTGTACGATTTTTTGCATACACTTCGTAATCATAGCTGTGATTATCTTTCAGTGTGGGATTTAGCGGCTTGATTCTACCCATTCTCATTACTCAAGCTGGAAAATGGGCAGCTCGCGGATGGGGAGCAGTGCTTGGAGCACTTGGCGCACGCTTGCGCGGCTTTCAAATTTAGCGTATTAACTCATTAAATGTTCAAAAGCTCATTGCCTGCGAAATGTGCACACATTTCTGAGTGCGAGGGTGTGAAATATGCACAAGTACGACACTTTGGCACCGAGGGGAAGACACTTTTAATACCGCCTAATGGGCAATCAGGCGGAACAGGCTTTAAATAAGTAGAATTCCTAATACTCCAAACAATTTCAACATTTTTAATTAAATTTATAATGACCATGCGACGCTGTGGGACCTAACAATATACGCATGTATGTATGTACATAAAATACCCTGTGAAAAAAGGGGTATAAACAGTTGCTGCCTTGAGAGCTGGCATAATTAGTCCTCCTTTCGTATGCAGCTCTTTATGCAATTTAAATTAATTTGTGTAATTATTTTAGTGGCTTAACTGGCCTTATTTCAACACCCTCGGCCGCACCGAGTGACCGCTGCCAGCAGTTGGCGTTACGCATACGCCACGTTGCATGCGTCTTAAATATTTGATGGCGCAAATCTGGGGCCCGGCAAAAATGACAGCTGCGTGTTGAAAATAATTAAGGCGCAATTATAATGACCCTGGCCACGAACCACAGGCACTCGCCACTCGCCACTCACCACTCACCACCCATCACCACTGAAACCACCCCCATCCGTTCGCCTGTTGGCATTGCAATGTGTTGCATGCAACACTAGACTTTGTGGCGTCGCCAACAATGACGAAAGCAATCCATGGCCATCGAGCTTGTGCGCGCTCCGGTAGCTTCCCATTCCACTTCTCATGCAAATTGATGCGAAATGTGGGCTAAGATTTATGCTTAACTCTTCGGAAGGACACTTTATATTTACCCGAAGATATACTTTTAATATTCTTAAATGCAGTTCAAGAATTTCCATGAAAAGGCATCAACATTTTCTGTTTGCAGGAAACACGTTTTACTCAATTTGTTGTTGAACAGCAATACACGATCACCGACGACATCCTTTAAATAAATACAATATACAAAGTACAATAAATAACTAGTACAAAATTCCGACCATGTTGGTTTGTAATTGATGACATTTTTCATTTGAGACATGGATGACACAAAATGCTTTGCAGGGAAGCCTTGGTGGCCGCCCGAGATGGTGGATGGGAGTATGGGCGAACAGTCAATAGTTTAGTTTGCATTGGCATCGATTAGGGGAGGCACTTCGGATATATCAACAAGTGACTTGGCGGTGGAAGCGTCGCCATCACCTACGAGCTCCTGGGTGTCTGTCGCAGTGTCAACGGTCTGCTCCTCTTCGTTCTTAACGTTCGAGGCATCTCCAGCTGCCTCTAGTTCGACATTGGAGTCCGTGTCGGCTGATTCCTGAACGCCGTTCACCTCTCCGTTCGTTGTGGATGCAGCAGCTTCAGCCGCCGCTGCAGCAGCTGCCTTTGCCTTGGATTTCTTCTCCTTCTTGCGTATATTCTTCTTGGCATTGTTCGCCTGTCGCTGCTCCTCGGCCTTCTTCTTTTCCTCGATGGCTGCCTTCGATTCATTCGTCGTTAGCAGCTTCATTTGGTTCTGCAGATTGGCCAGCGTTTGTTTCAGCTCCGCACAGTTGCGCGACATCATTTCCATTTTAACATTTTCCGCACTGACAGGCTTTACGTTTACTGGCTCTGGTTCTGGAGGCAATTGCGCCAGGGCGGGTATTTCGATCTCGTGGTCCCGGAGGCACTTGTGCAGTGTGGTCCTCTCCTGCTGTAAAGCACGCAGTAGCTTCTGCAGCTGCTGTATCTGCTTCTGCAGGCGCTCCGAGTGCTGCGACTGCAGACTCTTCTCTGTGGCTAAATCAATCACCATGGCATTGGCTTTCTCGTACTTCTGTCGCCAGCCCAGCGCCTCCTTCTCAATCTTCTTTGTGTGCTTGGACATCTTCTCGAGCTCCACCTTGTAGCTGCCGAATACCTCATTGGACTTCTGCAGCGACTGCTGGAAGTCATCGTACTTGGCTGTGTAAATGTTTAGCTGCTCCTTTAGTTGGTGCTCCCGATCGGTGAGATCCTTGATGGCACGTTGTGCTTGCAGCAGTTTCTCCAGGCCAATCTGGTTTTCCCTGAAAAAAATATGTAATTAAGATATCTTTCATGTGGCTTCTGTTCGTAGTACAGGTACATATAAAGTATAATATGAACGCAAAGGATCTATATTGAATTAAGTGCTAGCTACTCAGCGAAGCTCAATCAAAACCAGTAATCTCAGTGAGTTTCTTAAATGAAAACTCGTTTTCTAATGTGTGACCATTTAAGGTGTGCTTATCGCGAGATACAGAGAAGCGCCCGATGACCCGGCATTTTGTGCACATACTTGCTCAGAATCTCCTTCTCCATGGCGGCCTCCACCTGGCACTTTTGCAGCTTGGCCTGGTGCAACTGGGCCTCCAACTGAACCTGTTCATTGAGCTTCTCCAGGTGCTGCTCCCTCATTTGGTACTGCTCGGCCAGCAGCTTTAACCTAAAACGGGAGACCAGATGGTTAGGGAAAATCGGAAAACAGAGAACGTGCGTGTGCAGTGGCTATATTTAGAATGCGGATCCCCTCAGCGTTGCGGCGATGCTTACTTCTTGGTCATCTCGATGTTGTAATCGCGCAGCTTGATATTCTCGTCGTTGTTCTTGGCCAGGGATTTCTGGACATCGTTCAGGGAGCTTTGGAACTTGGTCTGGCTCTCCTTGCGTCGCTCCTCCTCCACTTTTATTTGCAGCAGGCTCTCGTTCTTCACCGACTTTATAATGCGCTGCTGTTCGCGGCACACCTCCTGCAGCTTGTCGCGCATCAGGACACTCTTGTTGAGATCCCGCTGGACCTGCTCCTTCTCCCGCTGCTGTGACTCCATTTGGCGCTGCAGGACACGCAGTTCCGCTGTCAGCCGGCTTACATTCTTCTCGCTGTCCACATGGCGTTGCAGCAGCAGTTTCACTTTCTCCTCGGGGGAGGGGCACTCGTCGAGGGATTTCATGACCTAAAATAGATACAGTTCCGGGTTAAACTCGACTATTTATCCCCGTTTCCATGGATTCTGGAAGTCTATGGATATGGGGTTTGGTTGCGTTCTTGGTTTTGGCCAACACGGTATTACCAACTCCTCCAATTTCTGGTCGCGCTGCTTCTCCTCGCGCGCCACCTTTTTCGCCTTGCTTAACTTCTCCATTGCCTATTCAGAGATCGGTGCTATATTTAACTTGTATTCTATTCCTCTTTCGAATTTTGACTATATTCGTTGTTGTTGCTTTGCTCATAAAACAGTGAGACGGCTGTGTTTTCCGGCAAATAGCCTGAAAATCGAAAGAAATATTTTGACTTTTCTATTCCGCCCTTGTCTGGCCACACTGGACTTACAAAGCTGCCAGACCATCAGCCGGCTTTTTGTAGTTTGCCAATAATAGCTCGTGAAGACACAAAACCATTTAACAGTTTAAAAATAATTGCTAGTTTATTAAACAGAAGCAGTTTTGATTGTTTTATAGACATCAGCAAGTGCCGCCAAAATACATTTGAATTGTGGCCTTGCGAGCAACAGCCCGCTGTTAGGAGTTAACAGCACCATGTGGCAAAGTACCGAAATCTACCGCCAGGTGCTGCGGAATGTGGAATACAAGTGCAGCCCTCGCTTTACAGTTATAACCGCGATCGCAAGTTTAATTCGTTGAAAATTTCGCAATTTGCACAATTTCCTAGCAATTTGCACGTTTTAATTACGCAACATGTCGGAGAAAGAAGAAGAATCGATTGCGTATTTGACGGAAAACGGTATTTTCCCCCGACTTCTGGAGATTTTAAAGCAAATGGTGGAAATCGATCCGCTGCCAGCGGATCCTCTGATGCACATTTTGCATTTGCTGGGCTGTCCGCTGATTCCGCAGGTTAGAATTGAAGTTTTGTACTAAATTATAATAAAAATCGTAAATTTGATATACAGGCCCAAATGAAGGCCCTGGAGCGGAAAGTGTCGCGTGCCCATGATGAACTGCGTCATTTGCGTCGTTTGGTCATCGATTTGGATGCCGAGGATCAGCTTTACGACAGCGAGAACGATGTGGGCGAGTATGTGGGCGATGTGGAGGAGACCAGCTCCTCCTCGCACGAAGTTTCCATGGTGGAGAACACCGACTCCCGGGAGGACTCACCGCAACCGGAGCTTGTGGTCTATCCTTCCATGTCGTCGCTCAAGGACTCATATCACTCAGATCCATAGATCCCGCAGTATCGAATCACATTAGCCGTTGAGCCTATATTATGTACGGGATACATATATCCTTGGCAACTGCATGTGAGTTTTGGACGTTTATTTCTATTACATTTTGTTTATTCGACGCATTGTAAAATCTATTATCCACTTTTTATAACATTGTATTGAGCAGAGGCATCACCTCAACTTATCCATTAAAATTGTTTATCAGCATGATATATTGAAAATGCTTTCTTGTATTAAAGATACTCAATGCGTTTCTTGCAAAGCCAAACAAATTATGTTTTATAATACAACTTAACAATCCAATACCTTACTACAAAGCTTTTCGCTTTGATCAAGTATATTTTCAATTTTGAAACTATTTCTTAAAATGTTATAAGTGGGGTTACCTTCTTAATCCTCTCGCCATGTAAACAGTTGATTAAAACAAGACTCCTGTTTTCACCCATTTCGAGTTGAGTGCCATTAAACCGCTCAACCTGTGGGAAATCAATAACTAATATATGCTACATGTTCGCCGGCATATCTAGGGCCAAATAAAACAACATTTCAATTAACTTCGACATGGTGAGGTGTGCAGCTGCAGTTTGGCTGCAAAACGTTAGAATTTCATTTGCGACTGACGCCATAGATTAGAAAATATGGGTTGCAATTCAATTTAAGGTTCAGAGGGTATGCTAGTTCATAACTATTGGGCTGCGAAAAGCTGCAGCTAATTAAGTCAGGCCTTTGGTAAAACGCAGCGAATTAGTTTTTGTATTTGACAGCCGAGCTGTGCTCAAATGCATTTCAAATAGCAGAGTGTAATATAAAATAAATTAGTTGACGCACGATAGTGTTTAATTAATTAGGTTCAGCGCTTTTGCTTACTTGCATATCTCTTATATCGGAAGAACAATCCTTTGTGTGTACAGAATATGGAATTAAATAATGCATGGCAACGTAATAAATAATACATACACCATCTTGTCTAGAATACGTTTAAGGTGAAAAACACCTTTGCCGGGCATTTAACCATTTTTACGACAAAGCCAATAATACTTTCGTTTTTATCCTGCACTCCTGCATATTTAATGCACCTTTTCCTGCGTTAAATTCAACACGTGTGGAGCTGCCTGTAGAAGCAGGCAGCTCAATGATTTACACCATATATTTGTCACAGTGCGATAAATCCATCTAATCCCCCGACATCTGCATGTCCGGCTTGACAAATAAACTGCTGCAGAGCTTACATAAATATTACTGCCGAAAAGAAAACATATTTTGCCACATAAAATAAACATGAACTTTTTGGGGGGCGGCACGGAAGAGGGGCGTGGCCGGGCAGCAGCTGCTTTTAATTGCTTTTGCTGGTTTTTCGAACGTTTGTGCAACTTTTTAGTTGACATTGAATAATCGCTGCGGAAATTGTCGCTTAACGGAAAATTGTGGTAAAAGCAGAGTGGACTCAACTTGATAATTGATTGGAGCTCTTTAAAATTGTTTGTTTGACCGCTGCTGCAGGCTATTTTCCTGTGTTTTTTTTACCCCTCTCCCCGCCGTTTAATCTGGGCACGCGTGCCGACTGCAAAGTGGCCAACGGCCTGTTTTTTTTGTTGGCCAAATCTGCATGTCAGTTGGCCGGGAACGTACAACTTTGACCACGTAAAATACGAGACCTCTCGTGCTCTCGGCCACAGGCCAAAACCATGCAAAACAAACAGGAGGCGGAACCAAATGAAGTGCAGTACGCCAAGTGGCTTCAAAGGACTGCAGGCGATCATTGGAAAATCCCGAGGGAACCCACGAATTCAGCAAATGCTACGACTAGTGGAAAAATCCTTACTTACAAATTATTTTCAATTTATATCGCAAATAGTTATTGGCTATGTAAAACAGAACTTATACCTCCTAGGAAGTAATTCATAAGAAAAGCAACAACTTTTTGCTTATTTTAGGCACATTTGGGAATTTAAAATCATTTTTTTGTAATTGTATTTTATTGTAAATGACTTTCGTCTGAATATTTATTTCCCTCCAGGGTGCTTAGCAGCCCTTTATAATCTTGCAATGCCAAAGCTTTGCATATCATCAGCAAATTAATTTAACTGCCCACTTACATCAGAAATTAATGGTTTACTACAATTTGTAAAGCTATATATACTTATATATCTTGCGCAAAAATATGAATTTATGCCTTTGCACTGATATCTCAGTGGGGACTGGGGACTGCATTTGCAAGCAGATTGAATGAATTTCCACGGAAAATCTATGGGAAAATGGAAGGGTGGCAAGGAGTAGCGCAGTGCCGCTTCAATTTCGTGTCGAGTAAATTTTAATTTACTGCTCTTTTGTGACCGCATGCAAGCCAACCAAACTTTGGGCTACTGGGGCGCTTTTCCTTTTTTTTTTTTTGCCCTTTTTGGGGCTTGTGTGTGAGTTTGTTTTTTGGCTTGTTGGTCAAATGATATATCCGGTCGGTCGGTCCATTCGACCGGAGGCCAGATGTGGAATTTTTAAAGTTAGCGAATCGCCGAGCTGCCATTAGTTTTAATGACCGCAAAAGGCAACCGAGAATAAAAAATAGAAAGTGCTTAGAAAACAAAACAGAGGGCGAAATACAAAATTCAGCTATTGCTGGCGGGCTAATTGCAGTCTGTCTGAGTGGGCGGTAGTCTGAGCGGGGGGCGTGGCAAATCTCAAAACTATGCTTCATTAGGCAAGCTGCAAACTCTATTTGGCTAATGGGCCACAGCCCACCAGAAAATGAAAATAAGTTGAAGATATTTGTGCTATAAAACGTGCGCGGCTTAAACAACGAATCCGCCCCGAAAAGAATTGAGAATTCCGAACACAACAATTAAAAAGCAATTAACTATGCAAATTTAGCGCTGTTAATGAGCCGGAAAGTTTATAAGCATACATATATCTTGAGTACTTTTCCTGGGTGTTGTTGTTTTCCTTTTGGGCAAACGGAAAATATCCGCCCAGCATCTGACCCAAATACATCAATGTCTGGAAAATGTTTTGGCCAACTGCCTCACTCTCACACACACGTACGTAAGCATTTTATCATTTCATGTCATTTTTCATGCCACGCAAAAAAAGGGTTAAACAATTTTTATGTGTCAACAAGAATAATTCCTGCCACTAACACGGCAACAAAGCGAAGCAACTTGGCTTAAATTTCCAGTTGGCCGCGTTTCTAGGAATGTGGGTGCGGAACACAAAAGGCATTTGTCGTATTAATAATGAAAACGAGAATGAACAGCGCACAACTAGCCGCGATACAAACTTCAACCAACAAGACAACAAACTGCCACAAATGTCAACAAAAAGTGTTGCAAAAAATCAGCACGCACCTTGGAAATTAATACTTTCCAGCTGCATAGGTGTAAAGTGGCATGAAGGACACTTTCCCCATCTACGTGCCACACTTTGCTACGTGCCATTATCCTGGGCCATAAAGTGCTGCTGAGATATGTGAGCCAACACTTCGACACGATATATGCGCCATTCCAGGTATAACTACAAAAAGTTTGCTTGATTACATTTAATTCCAAGTAAACTTGGCTTTTCCAACAATACATTGGCTATTTAATAACTTACCCCTAGCCAAATGAATGTCTTCATTTAATTGCAATCGGGATAAAGGCAGCCCCTGGCTGCAATTTGTAACATAAATTTGCAGCACTTGAGCGTTCTGTAGAGTCGATAGTGTTTCATCTGAGGCATCCCTTTCTCAACTTTAACAAATAAATAAGCAAATTTGCTTACAAAGCTGCCAAGTAAAACAATGCGAGCCGAGTAGGAAAATGGGGGAAGCCAACAAAGAAGTGCTCGCCTTCATTGTATTAAGTTCCTGCGAAATAAATATGCTGTGAGCTATAAAATTGCAACGTTTATCAAGGCATTTGCACTGCTGAGCATGCCAATGGCAGAACTAAACTACTTAGCGATGACCTTCGCAGATCCTGTGCCACCAGCCACCCACAAGTGCACTTAGAAAAGGGAGATGTGTTTCAAAGGCGGGTTAAAAAGGTATGTCTTCTTATGGGAAATCAATATTAGCATAAAATACAAACAATGCGTTGCGCTGTTAATTCGTATGTATATGTTTGTTAATCGTGTAGAAGTTCGGCACATATTCTTATGCCCATTATTTATGCCGAGTGTCGAGCTAATTCTCCATCGAATCAATGCCAACCAGCCCATTTCGCAGCAGGTTGCACGGCAACAGCCTGGCTGTGGGTCCAGAATCATAATTAATACCAATTAAATGGGCTTAGGTCTGCTCTGTGAGGGCGATCATTGAATGCTTATTACGCATACGCCGCGTGGCCGTGGAAGTCTAGAAATTTATTGCGTAACCATGACAAGGGCGAAACTTTTTAATTGAAAGAAGTGAGTGGAAATATTGGCGGCTGGATTAGGCCACGAGGGAATGAAGAAACCGTCTAATTATTCGGCATAGCGCTTCATTAGAATGCCGCGTAGGGAAAATGGCCTCTTAGTCTGTCGCCGCCGCCTGATGAATGACTTAATCACCCAGAAAAGCGCCACACAAATCAACGGGCCCAAAACGAGATGCTACTTTTGTTGTCACAGAACTTTTGCCTGGCCAAAAGCAACTCCGCTCAAAATTAATGGAGCAAATCAAACGAGCAAAAAGCAGATACCACTTCGGCCTCAAAGTCCAGTTGAGGTTGAGTTCGGAGCCATGGCCTTTAATAATGACCAGATTTGTGTGGGCTGCATGCAAAATTAGCGAAAAGTCGCCTCTCCAACTTCAACTTCCATGGCCGGAGCTCATTTATTTTCCTCTGGACGAACATTTCACGGCCTTCGCGGCCTCAGTTACCATTTTTACTACTTTGCTGCGCGTCTACCCTGTCAGAGGTTAAAGTGGCTAACACGCACGGAATGTACGGGTATTCAATTAGGTTTGAGTATGTAATCCTACAAAATATGATGAGTATAGAAATATTGCTCTGCTCCATAGTTAATAAGCTGTTATATATTTATTGAGCCACATAACAAGAAATAATATATAGTGAGAGAGTATTTCGGTATTTGAATTGCAGCACGATTTGGTGCGTCTTTTAAATTAAAGGCAGGCGAAATTGTGAAATTGCGAAAATATGAACATCCTGTGCAGCCGCCAAACAAACAGCCGCGAAGTCGGGTCATCAAGATTTTAAAACTTCATTTTTATGGCATACTCTGTGGCGTGGCTTAAAAATGATGGCTTTCATTTTTGGCTCAGGTCGGTGGCTTTAATTAAGCCAGGCAGAACTAAAGTTTCCGTCGGTTTTCCTTGGCTGGAACTTCAGTACCGAAATGCACATGGAAAATGCGCTGAATTGGCATAAAATGTAATAATAATTTCGCAGCATCTTCTGGGGTTCGGGGGTTGGGGTCGTGTCTGTGTAAAGGAAACAGCTGTTTCCGCAGGGAAAACCAGGCACGGTTGGGGTTAGTCGGTTAGGGGGCTGGGGGTTTTCCTGCAGATGAGGAGTGGGATAATATTCGGAAAAGCCTTTGTGGCATTGCGCGAATGAGCGTGTGCCGCAATTTGCTATTCATTTGAGTTTTCAGCTGGCTGCCTGCTTGTTTCCCGCTGTCGACCATAAACTGCAAGAGATTATGAAAAGTGCGCTTTTGGCCACTTCCTTGTGCGGCCACAGAATAAAAAAAAAATATATTATTTGGCTTTATACTTCCGCGCTACACGCTTTTCTTCAGCTGGCATTGTTGTGAGTGTGGCCACCGCCACCGCCACAATAATAATCATAATGCAAATACGTGCTGCATTCCGAGGCGCTCATTCGTAAAATTTCAATGTGCCACAGCGTTCATTTCGCTGTGCAATCATTGCTGAAATTTAATCAACTCCTTTGCGAGATTCATTTAAATTTTAGATTGTTTTTCGGGGTACAAAATAAAGGTGCGAATTTTGATTTGTCTGGAACGCAGATGCTCGTTATCATCTATGCCAATATACCCATGCAGAATATTTATTTATAAATGTGTATCCATAAAATTGAAAAGAGCAAGAAATAATTGATAATTCAAACAAAAACCATCACTGAGGAAGTTATCCAACTTGAAACTTTAAAACAATAATGGCAACAGCATTTCTTTAGTCTTTTATTTATTTATGAATATTTCAAGAGATTTATTTCTTGTTATTTTCATTTTCTCCTTCACTTCAAATCATCATCCTGCCAGAAGTCCTTTCTGTGATCAAGAGCAAGTCAGACTTTCGCTTATCCCATTTCCAGAGCTTAGGTAAAGCCAAAGGATTTCAGTCCAGAGTGCTTTTCCTGGGTATTTATAGGACTTACTCTGCCTGCTGCCAAGTACAACCAGCAGCTGAAAACTATTACAATAATTTTTATATTTATTTATGAGCTCAAGGAGCAGGAGTCCCAAGTCCTGTGATGTTGTCGCTTCCGTGTTACAATTTTAAAAACACATTTCTATGTCTCTATTCCGGCGAGAACAGAACTTTTCAGCTTAGTAAGCATTACTTGAGCTTCACTCCGCATTAGTTTTGGTTTTGGCCCAGTGAGGAATTCCGGTCACGTGACTGTCATTGGATATCGAAAACTACGTACTTCCCATTGGGAATTCCGTAAGACTAACGAGCGTGACAAATGCAAATGAAGTAACTGAGCCAAATTACATGTTGACCCTGTGGACAAACACAGGCGAAAAGTTAAGAGCCCGAGACTAAAAGGGAAAAAACTAATCAAGTGTTTTGATTGCTTTAGTAATTGTTATGAATGTAAGTGCAAACCTGGGATTCCCCAGCCACCTGCAGACTTAAATGGATGAAAGGGGTAGAATAACCAGTTTGTGCTTGCGTTTCGTGTTTTTAAAGCAATCAATTAGATGCTGGCTGGTACATATAAAACTTAATTTTCTTGATAAAAATGTTATTTACGGATTCTAATTCAGTTTCACAAAAATGGGAAATGGGAATATTTTCTAAATACGTACTTTGTTGGAAAAAGTAGGCAACCAAAAATTGAATTTATCAAACTGAAACTAGCCGACCTTAAATTTAAAGATTTGCGAGTCAACGAGTTAAAAATGAATGGGATCCTTGGCTTTTCCAACTTTTTGTGCAATTTTTCACATGCCAATTTTGGTACATTTTGCTTTTGGGCTGACTGTCGTGTGGCCCCAAGGGACCGCTGCATTTGCAAATGCTTGAAATTACATTTTCGCATTAATAAAAATGAAATAAAAATAAAAACGCAGCTCCTCCTGTGCACGAAATATGCAAATGTGCCGCGTGCAGTGCAGCAGATAAAACTGAGCATGGGACCCATATGTGAGTTTTGGTCCTTTTTCTCTATTTTACTTCCTTTTTTTATTTCGGCTGGTTGCATTGGAGTTTTGGATGACACCCCATAATGTGGAGCAGCTGTTGCAGGCAGTGCCAAAAGTCACAATAAATTCGGGCATTAGTTTGCTACACTTCTGTTTGCCCAATCCACAGTGTACAGTCCACTGGCTCTGGAATGTTTTGAATTTATACATTTATATATCCAAGGCATAAATAAATTGCAAAACTGCGTTGTGCATAAATAAAGCTTAGATTTAATGATGCGAAAATATTTATTCAAAACTTGAAAATGCCGCGGGACATCCTCGAAAATGCTAATAATGCTCTGTCTGAAAACGCCTTTCGGCTATTTACTTTGGCTTTATTTGGGAACAATTAATTAGTTCTTCATGGCGATGTGACAACAAAAATGAGAGTAGGAATTGAGTGGCCCATGGAATTTATAATAAATGTTTAAAGAGACAATTAGTTTCACCCATAATAAATCAAAAATATAATTCGTTTTTAAATTTTAAGTAGATTTAGATTACTGTTTGCTTGGCTGATCCGATTTACTTTAATGTTTTAAAAGCTATTGTAATAAGCTCTCCTAATTTGAGGAATTTACTATGCTATCACTTTGATAATTCAGAAAGTATTGCAGGGATTCTTTTGTTTGTCAAGTTTCATCTATAATTACTAGATATCTATATTCTCACGTAGTTGAATTTTACAAATATAATTTGTTTAAAATTCTTACTTAATCGGTACTTATTCCTAACTAACTGAAGCTTAGATTAAATCAAAAAAAACCTCCCGCTGCTGCAAATGACCTGGGACAGTGAGTTTTGGCCAGTTTGGTGTAGGCACAGCTAGCCTTCGTGTTCAGTTTCCAACCCTTCGACAATTTGTTCCACACATGAACCACCGGAGATTTGGATACCCTTCTCAGGGTTACGTTGAGTTTGTTGGGCTGAAAGAAGTCCTTCCACTGCAGCCAGGGTATGGCATAAAATGCACTTGGATCGTAGACTCTGAAGCCATTGCAGCGTTTCGGATTGTTAATCATTGCCCTGACATTTTCCGTCTTGCATTGCTTTTTGACCACTCGGGTTATGACCCCGGGTCCATTGGTGCCCCATTTGTCGCCATTGTAGTTGGCCTCCAGATCCCTCAGACACATGGTGGCAATCTTATGGCCCACACCGCCGGCGGACATTTTCATGACTCCACAGGCCACCGATGTGTTGCTCTCGGCACCCGTGAAGTTCGGCGGCATCTTCACCAGGTTCTGCTGCACCACCACATCGAGATCCAGGTAAAGACCGCCGTATTTGTACAGGGTAACATAGCGCAGAAGATCCGAGACATGTGGAAAAAGAAATTTCGATTTGAATAGTTTTCCAGTGCTTAGCCATTTCGCGATGGGAGTTCCAGCTGCATAGCGCCACAAGTTGAGGTGCCTCAGTCTGATATTCTTGTATTTATGCAACGCCTTGATGAGCGGATCTCCACCTAATTTGCGATGAGTGGCGCCGGCGAAAAGCACAAATACAGTGAGGCCTGGATTGTGAAGGGCGGCCGATTCGATGGCACAGGCCGCCCGGGCCGTCAATTGGACCAATGCGCTCCTTTCTATCCGCATGAAATTCGTGGTTTCATGGAAAAATATATTCTGTCCACGATTCGGCTGGTTTTTGGCCTTGAGCACATCGAGCAGGGGAATGACTGGAATTTTCTTGGTAATCTTGTTCGTCTTGAACTTGGGTTGGCTGGCCATCGACTTAGCTGCTTTCTTGGCTAAGGGATTCTGCACTTGCTTTTGATTCTTAGCCTTGCTTTCGATGGGTTTATTTTCAAGTGGGATTGCTTTCTTCGTCGAATTCTTTAGTTCTGTGTGTGCTGTAGGGTAAGCACGACTGTATGCTATCCATTTGTAGGTCAAAACGATGCTGAGAATCAGTAGCAGAGAACCTACAGCGATTTGAGTTCGTGACACTTTCATTACGAGAATTTTAGACTGCACTTCACCCACGCAGTTTACGGTTTACTACCAACTGAATTCGTTTCACTTTATACACGAGGTTGTGATTTGAACAGCAATATTCCAGAAGGAAAATCTTGTATATGCTATTTTTTAGCTTATGCTCTATAATTATGAAAATAACTAAAATCTGCTTGGTTGAATTCCATTTATATCCACTTTTTACATAGCAGCATTATCAATGTCAGTGATAAATACAATTAACTAGATACTAGATACATTTGTTCAAAGTGTTTATTACTATTCTCGGATGCATCACTTAAATGTCGAGCATGTCAAATGTGTGATTTGTTTCACTTGGCGATCTGTTTTGCCTTATAAGGGCTCTTGCAAGTCCCCAATGCTCTCAATTTGACTTCCAACTGGCCAATATGAAGTTCCAGGCTCTTTTCCTCACTTTGCTGGTTGTTTTGGCCCTGGTCAACGGCAAATCCAGCAACGTAAATCACAACGTCATCGTCATCGGCAAAAAACTCCCAGCTACAACTGAGACTCCGGTCGCAGATGCTTCCGCCGCCAATTAAATGTTTTGAGTCAGGGCTTGTCTACTTCTAATAAAATGGATCGATAATTACAATATATGTTTATTAAAGTGTTTAATATGTAATTATTTGAGCTGCATGCGCTGATTCACTGACTTTTAATACCGCGAAAAGTCGTGTAGAACTTTAGTAAATAGTAACCAGCCAACTGCTCCTCAGATCGTTGTGAAATAGGTATGAGTTTTAACCGAAACCATTTTCTTTGGTTCAGTACCTTCCATTTACTTTTGGAAAAGAAAGTTTGGAAACCATTTGCCTTTATAAAACATTTGCCTCCAATTTTTTCGAATCAAGAAAAATCTTTATCGCCTTACCAGGATAAATCAGTTTCTATGAAAGCATTGTAGATTGGCAAAGGGAATCGAAATTTGTTTTCATTTCAATCGGTCTATAATGTCTGAAGATTAGAGAATTCGTTCCACCTTTTCGTGCTTCATCGAGCAATTAATTTCAAATTGTCTGGCATTTAGATTAGTATCGCTTACGCAACCCCGGCCTTATAAAGAGTGCACCCCCCTAACGGGGCACCATTTACAATCTCAACTGGCCAACATGAAGTTCATCGCTGGATTTATTCTGCTGTTTGCCGCTGCGGCTTTCGCCCAATCAGATCCTACCACCAACGAAAACAAGAATGTGATTAACATCAATCCCAGCGCAGCCAAATAAATCAGTCTTTGATATTTGCAGACCCAGAATTAAATAAAACATTTACTTTATTGCTTGCATGTAATAGCAATGGTCTATTTCTTTTAATTTAAAGTTGACAACTCGTTGAAAACTCGTTTAATATCGAAGAAAATTAGAGTTTTTACATAAACTATTTCGTTGTTGTTAAACTATTGGCGTTTGGCCAATAGTTATAAATGGTAATGGCTTAAACAAATTGCGTCAGCCTGCCAGTATACGAGTATTAGTAGTATCAAGTATTAAAGTATTAAAGTATAATTTATAGGGCTAGTAATATTTTATTCTAAAGAGAATATGTTACAAAATGCGCATTAGCGCTGGTATTAACCAAAACCAAATTTACCGAAACTAATTTTTAAAAGTTTTCACGAAAAACAAATTTTTTAACGATTATAAAATTGGTCACCGTCTAAAACAAATAAACGATTCTCTTGGCTTATGCAACACTTGGCTCAAAAATGATATAAAAACCTAGTTTATGTATTATTTTTATTCTCTTCTGATAGACATGAAGTACCTAACAGGTTGTCTTTTGCTGATTATTGCCTCTGCTTTGGCCCAAGTACCTCCTGGTGAAAGTAATGTTAATCATAACGTAATAACTATTGACCACCCAAAACCATAAATTATTGTGAAACAATTTCAATAAAATGTCTACTTATATGATTTATTTGCTATCGTTTAATTTCTATTCAATAAAATTATTTTACCCCTTACTCGTAGAGTAAAAGGGTATTCTAGATTCGTTGAAAAGTATGTAACCGGCAGAAGGAAGCATTTCCGACCACAAAAAGTATATATATTCTTGATCAGGATCAATAGCCGAGCCGATCTGGCCATGTCCACCTGGAGTTGCAATATATAGTATACACCTAGTATAATAATATATAAATGTCTTGTATTTGTCATTGTTCTGTATTACTGCAAAATTGGTTTATAAATCCGAAGCTGCGAAGAAATTTGTTTCGTCGTAGATTAGATGATATGGTCCTCCCTAACCAATCCAATTAAGCCAAGTTAAGCCAATTAACGATTTCATCTCATGTTATTTGAAGCAACTACATAATTATAAATCGTTAGCATCCGCCAAGTTGCAAAGATGCGCGAACACTTTTTTTAATCCCGCTTTTGGTTTGTGCAGCCCTGGCAATTGACCAAGAAAGCTACCTAAAAAATATTTCCAACAAAAATAATACCAATTCCTTGAAAAAGATTTGGATTTGTTTAAGAAAACAAGGTTTCCCGAGATGCCGTTTCATTGATTCAGGTGTGTAAATGGATCGGCCAAATTTCCTCATCAAGAAATGATACTAAAAGACTTATGTATAAATAATGTCTAATTACACCAAGAAAAGTGAAATTAAATGATTTAAATGTATACAAAATATAAACGTAGTTAGTATGCAGCTATCCATTACAAACTAGATTGCTATACCCATAGTAGATGTTTTTCCAGTTTGGTATGGAAAGTTTATATTTTATTTTCAAATTTTTTTCACAGCGGCATAGGGAGTTGTCCACATACACGAGTATCTGTATTCAACAAACTTTTTATTGTTGTTTCAAGTGGCATTGTTGTTCCAGTTGCTGCCATAGATAACTACGTGCTAAGAAACGTATAGCGAACTGCACAGGGACAATATATATTATACAATACGAGTATATATACTCGTTCAGAAGGCGATAGGGATTCATGGGGTAGTGGCATGCCAGACAATGGCTGGCGCCCACGTCTCCATGGACGCATTCTAATAAAAAGCAAGCACAGAGAATGCCATTCTGTGTTGCCGTTTTCGCCATTGCCTCGAATGTTTCCACAGTTTCTTCATATTCCTGCCATAGTTCGTTATTCCCATTCCCTTCAACAGAGATGGGCACAGTTTTTTTAGTGCTTCTACACTTACAAGGAGGAACCATCACTGTTTTAGCCAAAATCAGCTATTACAAAATATGGCAAATTATATGTGGTACTTTTTAATTGTTTGTACATTATTTGTATATACCATAAATAAGAATACTCATAGTGAAATCTTGGTAATCATTCGTTTCTCATCACTAATGGCTGGCTGCAAATCCTTCTCCACAGTTGAACTCCTGCCGTTGTGCTCGAGTTTTTAGGCTTTTTGTTACTTGGGCAACATTTGAGTTATAAATGCCGCACTACTTGAATGAATCTCCTGGGCGTAATAGTTTTCAAATGGCTCTACGTATATGACTGTCTTCTCCCTTCCTTTTGGAGATTCGTTTCTGTCTTTGTTGCAAACGTATCGCACACAAGTGGCTCGCTGTCTTTGAGCCAAAAGCGCTTGCCAATGCGAAAAATGGCCCAATGAATCTGGCGGGAGTAAGTTGTTGCTGGCCAGCAAATTTGCCGTTTTATGCCATTCAGTGGACGAGACTCCTTCAGGCCCATAAATAATTAAAGTTCGCCTTATTTCCGATTTAATGGCAACCAAAAATTGGAAACGAAAGTTGGTTGGACTATCGTTGTTGGGCGATTGCTGGCTAAGCAAATGATACAAATTCATAAAATATGTCAACTAACGAATTTCCATTCCATATTCCAAAAAGAATTTAATAATCGTATGTTTAATCAAATGAATTAATGTCATTTAATTCATTAAATGCCCGCCTTTATTTATCTCTTAAACACCTTAATTTGGATCAAGGCTTGGACAAATTTCCAAATTTCTTGGCTTACGGACATCGCTTTTCAAACAGTCAATTGCCCTTGAATTTGTGCCCAGCTTTTATCACAATAATGAGACCGAGACGGCCCAAAGCCCAAGCAAATAAATCAATTTTTCCCGTTTCCGGTCAATTAGTGGCGTTCGATGGTTGGCAAAGGTTGAGAAGTTAAACTAATCGCCAGATTCCATGAAGTGAGCAAACAGAGAGGCAAGTGAAATGTTTACATTTCTGCTTCGGTTCAGTGCTATTTATTCTTTTTCCTTCAACTTGTTGCAGTTTCCTTCTGTGAGTGAGTTCTTGCAGTGAGTTTGCCTCCTTGGCTGGCCAGTTCCCTTTGAAGACACTCGGGCGTATTAGCAATGTTAATGCTCATGGCCCTATGTCCCATATTAAATGCTAATTCGCATACGGCGCACGATCCCCAAATGGAGTACTCCACTCCGGCATTTTTTCCCCTCGGTTATTTGATAGAGGACACGGTTACGCTACATGACATTTACAAGTTATTATTATGCAAAGGACACGCTGCGGAGTCTCTTTTCCGTTTTCCCACACTCCCACCCTCCCGCACTACTGCCATCCGCTTTTCTTTGCTCATATGTTGCAAAATCTGCTGTGGCGTTGGGAAATTTGCATTTATTCATGGCATAAATAAAGCATCCGCAGCGTGGACGGGATGCCGAAAAAAGGGATATATTTAATCTGGTCACCCCGCTCAGGCAAAGAGCCAGTGTGCTTCGTTCGGCAAAATCATGGCAGCACTTGCTGGGCATCTGGATGGGGATGTGGATGGGGATGTCGATGTGTTTTATTTATAATTTATTTGCTGGAAAGTGCAGCTTACGAGGGCGAGGGAACACCTGCCGTTGACGGCCGCAGGTGCAGCCGCAAAAGTGACGCAAATTTTGTTTGGCCAACGCTCTCTATATAACAATTACATGCATTTAAAATCCGGTTTCGGTTTAGAGATTCGCGGTTAGGCTGCCTCGCCAGTTTTCGACATTTGGATCAGGGATGTACAAAATATCTAGTTTATAAGTTCCTTGCTATGCAGCTTTTTAAATAAATAAGTGATTATAACTAAGATTAGAGATTTTTTGGGTAAAGTGCATAAAATATTATTTGAACTGTAAGTTTTTTTAACATTTTGTTTCAACTATATTATAAATATTTATTGAAACCTAATGTATTTCTGCATCCCTGGCTAAATCAGCATGTTGAGCTGTTTATTCTGCGGCCTCAACATCACTGATTTGCATGTGCACGGCTTAAATCCCAGATTAAATTGCCGATAGTAGCGAGTTGCGAATTACGTTCCCATTTGTTAATGGGTCTAATCAATGTGCATTGTTGACAGCGACCCCCGCATCTATTGGAAGCCCCCATTATTGTGCTGTAAAATCATTACCAAGGAAATAAGGTCACAAACGCATATATTTTATTTGCCCACAAACCTCAAAATACACGTAGGGCAGCTGGTTCCTTGCCCAGCTCTCAACCCCATAACCGGAACATAATAATCCCATAATGCGGAGTTAGAGGAGCGTAAAATTAGCCCCAAACCGATGTGGGTGTTCCCCTTCTTATGCATGCATAATAGAGTATAAAAGTGAGGGGCGCACTAAAGTGAAGCCCAGAGAAGCAACAATGTGCAAAATTATTATACAATTTAAACATTTAAATTTAAAAAATTCTTAACTGAAATGATGCGCTCATTTATGCCGTGTTTATCAGCATTGTTTACTGAAAGCGACAGTTGGCCACGTGTTGTCCTGTACTCAGTACACTTTATACTCGTGCACTTCACTCTTTGTTTTTTGCCCATTACACTTTTCCTTATCCCCGAATGCGTCTCCTTTGAGGCGGTTTATTTTCCCGGGAAAGCGTCATCTTTTGTATGGGCACCGATTCCTTTTCCATTAGCACTTTAATATTTAATGACTTCTGTTTATCGCACATAATTGAATCCTGCGCTGTGGTCTGGGGCCTTCGAAGCTTTTTCTGCAGATGGCCTTTATTATTTGCCTTTGGCTTATTGCTCATTATATTATTATCTTTTGTTTGTAATATCCGTAATATGGCTTGAGCCCCACCATTTTTATGGGGCATCATTATTTCGGTTTTTGTCTTATAAATAATGCAGGGGCCAATCTCTTTTCTCGCATTCGTTCTCCTTGGCGTAATTCTCAATCAGAATTCAGACACACATGGCCTGGCATGATTTTCTTTATAGGTCTCTTGGTTTTTGCCCAGTTTTTCCCGCTTTTCCCCTGGTGATTACCGCTTTCAGTTCGTTACTAAAAGTTACAACGCCCTTTTCAGTTTCCTCTTGGCCGACGAGCGGCATTACCAGAAAATTTAATTAATGTATTTCCTTCGTGTTTTCGCATATTCATGCCTCAAAAATTGGGTGCATGTGTGGCACGTTTTGCTCATTAGCCATTTAGGTGGTATAAATATGCATTAAACCATCTCGCCGAATCCTTCCTATCCCGAGACGTTAGTTACGATTTATGGCCAGGACATGAAATGGACAAAAACTTACATACTCGTACATACGCGTTCTCTAGCAAGAAAATTTTAGCGAAAATTCAAGTGCAAGGCAAACTTAAGGAAGCCGGGGGCCAAGGACAGTGGCCTTTAGTCGTAATGAAAAGACAACAAAATGCGAAGGATAAGCGACAGGCGAGAAAGCTCCAAGGTTTTCCTTTCCGCTCCTCCGAAGCTTGGTCAAAAGCTTTGTACCACAATTGTCGAAATGTACATTTGACAGCTAAATAATTGGCCGAAAACAGGGCCTCGCGCCCAAAAAAAAATAATTCACAAAATGTAACCTGCATAAATTAAACGAGAAAGCGTTGTATCAAAAGGGACAAAATGCGTCCACATTTATTTATTATGCGGTGACCCGCAAGAAAATATAAATAATAAAGCAAAAGAGTTCTGTTGAAAGCCAAAAGCGGAAAAGGAAAAGGTATA